CAGAATCTAAGGGATATAAGTTTATAGGTTGAGACCTGGTATTAAGAGAGTGGATAGAGGAACTTAGAATAAGGAGTTCCAGGATATAGGGAGGGTTTTTGGTTCTGAAGACTTGGAAAAGGAAAACGCCAAGGAGGAATTGTCGTCGGGAAGTAGAATAATAAGATGATTAATAAATTGACATTTGAATTTTTATCTTGATAGATTAGATATATAGAACTAGGGTGAACTACCAGAAATGGACAAGGGGCCCAGTGATGGACAGTTTAGACTTCAAATGTAAAGTATAAACTTTCTTGTTGATTTAAAGGTTCCATATTTTTCTGGATTGAAGAACAATGCCTTCTATTGACAACTGTTCGAACGAAATTCCCTAAAGTAATTTTCGATCAATACCTGTCCTGGAATAATCATGCCTCCCAGATTATCCGAAAATCTATAACTAGACTAAAACAGTTTCTAAGATTCCGTGATTCTATGCTCCTAAAAACTTCCTCACTTCGATTATGGCTGTCTTGTATACGGTGGACTGTCTGGTGGGCTTGAGATCAGATTAAAGAGGCTAATGAATTGTTTCATTAGATTTATACTTGGAGTCCCCAGGCACTCCCAGGTCTTCAGTTGGTTGTTCAGTTAAAGTGACTCTATCCAGATTTCCGGCGGCAATATTTCTTAAGTGTATTTCTTTTCCGAACCTTTACAACCAAAAAACCCTCTTATCTTCTTGATTTCTTTACTCCTTGTTCCTCTGTTCATTTAACACGAGATCTCAGTCCATAAACCTGTTGGTTCCCTCTCATAGAACCGTTTCCTTTATAAAATCCTTTATCATGTATCCTTTATTTTTTTTTTTGGAATTCTCTACCTATCTCAATAAGCAAATCCTCTTCCTTCACCTCATTTAAACAACGCTTATCCTCCCATCTCCTCAGCAATCCGTCTTCCGAATATATGAAGAGAGAGAGAATCACTTTATTATCATAAAATAGTGCTGCCCAATTACATTAGGTTGCTAACTACACAGCATACTTATCCCACTACAGACAATGTTTAAAAATAATACACAATTATATAGAACTAACAATATGTACGAGCATAGTATACAATATTTTATATATATATATATATGTATTATTTTTTTTCCTTTTTATTTACTTTATTTTTACTATTTCTTTTATTCCATACCCTTTCTCTTCCTTCTCTTCCCTTATACATTTTTTCACTCCTCATATTCTCTCCTCTCTCCTTCTAACCCAATTAATAGAAATACATTAAGGACGTGTTAAATAAATAATAATATATAAATAATAATAAAATTTCGTATTAATGAGCTGTCACTCTCATTTGGCTGTTATATTACTGTTACTTATATGTCATCAATATTGTTTATCAGAACATATATGTGAATACACTCATTTATATTTATGCACAAGTCAATATGTTTACTAGTATTTAATTTATTTTAATTATAAGGTTAGATTAGTATGTTATGTTAGCTAAAATGTTCCAGAAAAATCACGACCGTTGTAGTTTTTATAGTGCTCTTGAGATCAATTATTGTTTCATACCTTCATACTAACAGCTTTGCTAAGAGTAAGTTAAACATTTATGATATCTTATCTTTATCGTAATATTTATAGTTGAGTAAAGATTTTAAAATTTTCTTACGTTCTAATGACTGGTATTTCGGATTGTCCATCACTAGTGCAAAAAGGTTTTAAAAATAGAAAATGGAGACCCTAGAGATTCTAAATGTCAAACGAAGAAGTCTATAACTATAATAATTAAGGTGGTATAAGCCAAAAATGACAAATATTTCCTATGTCTATCACTGCTGTTGTTACCCTAATATGAAATGATTTAAAATAAACAGAGTCGAGCTCTACGTGTTTTTTTTTCGACATTATTTATTTTTTATTAAAAATGCCAAAATAGTTTGATAAAAAAAAAATCACTTTTCATAGAATCGCTCGTTTATATATTTGGAATAAACGATTATCTAAAAATAATCACTAATGTTCACTTGAAAAAAAAATAAAAAGGCAGATAAAAAAAAAAATCATTTAAATAAATAATAATTTGTGAAATTATGTTTTAAAACCTTAACCCCATTTAAAAATTACACAAACGCCATTGTTGTCAACAAGGCCAGGTGAAATGGCCCTTAGGGTACAACACGGGCCCCTTTTAAATCTGTTACCTTGCCTTATGCTAATCAAGAGAGCATTGATTTCCCAGCTGACCTCCTTTGGTGGTCGTTTTCCCGCCGAAAATATCCCGCAACAAGTCTCCCACCACCTTGAGTTAAAGAGTTCCATGGAGGCCTCCATTGGATGAGGAGGTAGTTTGTCCCTTTATTAATTATTTAGAAACTGTCACATCTATATCATTAAGTTTATCAGTAAAAGTTTAAATATCCGTATATTCAAATATTAGGACTATTTATTTTTCCATCTTAAACAATATCGTAAATTAGAATTTTCTTAATCATTTCATCACGTATTTCTCTCTTGTAAACTCAAAAGAAGTAATCATTTAAATTTTCATTATTTCCTATTTTAAGGAATACAATTATTTCAACTAACCAAGTTTTAACAACAGGTTATTTGAACTTTATGATTATGACCAAAAAAAGGATAAATATAAAGTTTATAAAATAAGTTTTAATAAATATAATTTTTCATAGAATTTTTTTTTTATTTGTTGGGCGCCTGGCTTTATGAGCCTTTCATCTCTAAAGAGATAAATCTAGAAAACATAAGGTACTTACTCATTATTTGGCCATGATTAAATATTTACTCTACCATGCTAGCTCAGGTGAGAAGGGTTTAGGTTGGATATTTTTATAAAGCAGCAAAAAAGGTTAACAGATCTATTTGCAGAAAGAAACATTTACAGAATTAATACTATGTACAATAAAAAGAAATAAAATGCAAGGAGAAAGAGAGAATTTAAACATAATTACTATATACAATTAAAGATAAATAGGAAGATATTTAAGATAATACAAATAACAAAAAAAGATACTTATTCTATATACAATAGTATAGCATGCCACATCTAAACATCAAGAAAAGATATAAGATGTAAGAGCACATGCTCATGCTAAAATATCAATTAATAATCAGTCACAGGAAACAAAAGAGAGGAGAGTTCTGTGTTTTTTTTTACAATTCTTCCTTAATCTTGGTTACATGATTAAGGAAATTACTTAACTAAAGTAAAAAAAAAAATCATTTCACTTAATGTAGATCAGTAACATCTCACTTATTCCATCAAATATCATACTAAAACAAAAAAAAATAAAATAAAATAATGAAGACAACAAACATATTTCTCATGTTTAATTATGTGTTTTTTTTTTAACCTAAGAAAACATTAAAATTTATATTTTAAATTACAGTGTTACGATCAAGACTTAAAAATACATTTATGATCTTTCAATTTCAACAACACCCATCAAAGCATCACACATACAATCAATCAAACATAAGAGAACAAGGCAATGTGCTACTGTTAGTACAAAAGATTATATGTAAAACTTGAGTTTCTTTTTTTACAAAAGAGCATAAAAACTAATTATTTCTTTATGATTTTTTAGTATAATTTCATATTTTATTTCCATACTATACACTTGCGGATCCAGGATTTAATTTGGGGAGGGCTTCAGCCCGAAAGCTTTTTTTTCATAAAAATAAGGACAATTACTTTGGAAAAAAAGAAAGAAACTACCTACATGAAATGATGTTTGAGTGATTCCTTAAGTCCTTTTAAATGTAATAACACAAACAATAATATTTTAATATTTTTTTCTATAAAACTTGGTTATATTTTACCTTTTTTTGTGGGGGGGGAGGAGACGCTTCCGCCCCAAATCACTCCTCCCCGTCCCCCCATAGATTCGTCCATGATAGTAGAAGACTATTTATTGCAGTTACAGATTACAAAATGTCATCTTTAGCACAAATAGAATTAACATATAAAATTATTACATATAATCTTTTGCATTAACAGTCTAAATTAGTCTATATTTTATTTTATTTTATTAGCATTTTTTTTTTTTTTTCACTTTGTTTATTTTTTACGAATAAATTTAATATGGTTTATTTATAGAATATTGTATGTATAAAAAATGTGTTGTACAAGGGTACACACACAAATGAAATTTATCTTTTAGTTGTTATCAGTTTCAGTACGACAGGAATCTTTATTTTAAGTTATTTCGGAACTAGAGCTTTTTCCTTGTAAACTTTTCAAGTAAATGTTTTTACAGAAATTTTATTTTTTGAAAACTTGTATTTGAACGTTCATTTTGCCAAAAAGTTAATCAGAAAAAAACAAATGAACAGTATATTCTTAGCTACTCAAGGAAAATACAAATAAAAATCAAGTAATTCATTTAAGATAAATTACACATGTAATCTAGACCTGGTTTCAGTTTCATTTATCTTTTAACCTTACTTTTTTTTAAGAACTTAAATAAATAAAACTTTATCCAAATAAATTTATTAATTAATATTTATAAATAACACTAGATAGTTAAACTTTTAGAGTAAACCAAGAACAATATTAGAAAAAAGGTTCTTTTCTGTATTCAAGTTCTTAAACAAAGTTCTGTTAAATGAAATATAAAAAGTAATCGGGCTTAGATCAGAGTTATAATTTGTCTTAAATTAATTTAAAAACTATAATTATGTGTTGTTTGTTTGAATGTCATTTTTTAGCGAAATCGACAGAACTTTTAATAAAAGTTTTAAAAAATTAAATTCTGTAAAATCTTTATGTGAAAAATTGTAAGGGAAAAACTTCTAATTCCAAACAAACTGAAAAACTATCGACAATAAAAATTCAGATGATACTGAAACTTTTTAGAAATAAAAGGTTTTTTTTTTTTTTGTTTCAAACCCTGATTTCTAGTTTTACAATATAATACTCCAGTTTTACATATATATAATTAGTCTGAACATGGTTTTAAATACTAAAAATCTTTAACTTCTCAGGTGATATTCTACAAGAATGGAGACTCATATTACCAAGGGCTGGAGTTCAGATTTCGACCTGGCAGAGACGTCACCTCTTTAGAAGGACTCTTAGACAAGCTCTCCCAACGACTAGATCTGCCGAGGGGAGCTAGGTTCATCTTCTCGATGGATGGTGAGAGGAAGGAGTCTTTGGATGAACTCGTGGATGGCCATAGCTACGTTGTTTCTTCTTACAAGACGTTCAAGGTATTGTTTTAAATTATTTTACTGTTTTCTCTTAGGTTATTTTGACTGATAAAGAATATTATAAGTTCATGCTATAAAGAAGTGCCTTTTTTATTTCAAATATCAGTGGTTTTGTAAAAAGGCTTAAAGAATTATATTTAAGAAAAAAAAAATGTTTATAAACATATAAATAGTTTAAATTTCAGATTAATCCATATTAAATAAGGACTCATCCTGAGACTTAAAATCGAATTTTGATCATAACATCAATATTTAAATGCCTCATTCTAATTAAAAATATTCTCTAAATATCAAGCTTGAATTTTATAATTCACTGTTGTAAATATAAAAACTGATAACTGATTTCACAGTGGCTTGTACCAAGTTTAAGTAAACTTTTAAGTATTAAGACAATAACTATTGTAACAGTTTTTGAAAAAATATCAATAATATGATAGGATATAGGCATGAATATTTCATAAAATATGCTTGAAATTTTATAGTGCATTTTATAAAATGTTTCTTGATTTAAGAGTGTAGTGTCTGATTTCAACCTTCACTCTGTGATTTCAAACTCATATATTTTATTATTTCCATATATATTTATTATATCCAAAATATATACACTCTACTAGTTTAAAATAATAATTTATTTGAATGAAGAGTCAATTTTATTTCAGATTTATTTTAATTAATGTGAATTATAAGACCTTTTTTTCGCAGAGGATTATTTAATCATAATTTACAATTATTTTAGATTTATTTATTTTCTTGTTTTCTTAAAAGAACATTACATATAGTTTATATAACAAAGTAAGAAGTGGTAACAAGTAATATTAAAAATGATACCATTATATAACTTCTTTGATGTCTACAAAATTATATTGAATCGTATTTTTTAATTTAATTTATGGAATTTACTTTCTTGATAGATTTATCAAAACATTTTGATTTAATTAAGATATTTTTATATATCGTAACCATTACTTTGAGGTTTACAGAATTATCTTTATATCAAAGTAAAAATCAATTATTCTGACATTTTCAAACATTTATTTATTTAGAAAAAAAAAATATATTAGGGTAATGGTTAGGATGTAAACAAATACATCCTATAATCTTAAATATGTGAAAAAAAATTTTTGATCTGTACAAGTGAGTATTATTATATTTATTTTTTAATATTCTGTATTACTAGTTAATTATTTAAATTAAATATGTTTTTTATTTATAAAAGTATTTTATCTTATACAGAATAATTTTATTATAATTTATTTTGTTATAATAATGGTAGAAAAAACCTATTTAATCCTGTCAAAACTTCTTTCATTTATTTCTTTTCAGTACATTAGACAGCATTCGACCTGATTAGCCTATCTTGGAGTTTGCATAATTAGTCCACAACTTCCTGTATTGTCAAGAAATACAGGAAAGAAGTTTTGAATGGTTTAAATTAGTTTTTCCTGACATTATAATACATCGGTTTTTCCTGAAATTAAAATACATTGGTTTTCCTGACATTATAATCCAAACGGTTCTTAAACTAATACCATCCTATATTCGTTACAAGGTATATTAGTGAAGTTATGGGAGGAATGGTCAATAAAACACTAAAATGGATTATGGAAAACAATAATTTACTTCAGCCATTCCAATCTCAATTCCACAAAGGATGATGCACAATCGATCGTTTAGTTACATTAGAAGTTGAAACCCATTATGCCTTTATCGATTCTCAGTAGTTGATTGTGGTGTTTTTCAAGAAGGCATTCGATAGCATAAATCACACTATAATCCTAAATAAGCTATCATCCATAGGAGTTCAAGGATAAAGTTCCATTATATCAGCCAATTTTTCTCGAATCGCCACTTAGAACTTATTTTAAATCTAATACAACTTAGTGTGAGCTATCCAGGGACCACGAACTGATCAGCGAAGTCCCTCATCAATGTATCTCTACTCCAATTATGTCCTGCTTATCAATAAACGACTTGGAACTCAACATGCCAAGAGGTGTGTAGTAACTATCGCAGATGGTTAAGCCGGTATCTATTGTTCTGAAAACATTACTAACATAAAAAATATATTACATGAAGCCATAAATAGAATAAATATCTATTTCCTTTTCACTGGTCTTCAATTTTCTGCTTCATTTCAGTAGAAAGAAAAACATCTTTATTTCTCCTGAACTCTATCTAGGCAATACTCTGATTTTTTAGGTATGATTTCGATCAAAAATTAACCTGGGAGTCACATATCTTGACACTTAAATCTAACTCTAGATAAAGATTAAATATAACAAGATATGTTAGTGATATCTCCTTGGGCTCTGATAGATTCATCCTACTTAAGTTTTATTGCGTTTTAGTGTACTCTAAACTGAATTATGGATGTTTTGTCGTTCAGCCTATAGCTGTTGCTGTTCATAAACAAACTCGTTTCTGTGCATCATACTGTGATTCGTATAGTGACCGACGCTTTTCGATCCAGCACCATTCTCAATTTGTGTTCTAAAACAGGATTATCTCTTATTTTATTTAGAAGAAATGACTGTAAGTTAATTAAATATCCCAAATTTTTCCTCAACCTGATCACCTTGCTCATAGCTACATATTAAAATCAAAATTTTCCAAGGCCTTTGAAAAATATCCTAGTTCAATCCTTTTATTTTCATAGAGAGAATTAATTCTCCGTTGTGTTCCTTATAGGAATACCTTTAACTAAACAAAGAATTCACAAACCTGCATGGATAAACAATCTGCCAAAATCAATAGTACATCCAACTCGATTACCCAAAAACAAAACCAAATTTCCATATATATTTCAACCAATATTGGAACCATTTTTAATCTATGCTGATAGATCCAAATTGGAACTCACAGCGTCTTTTTTTGTCACTCCTAACTGAACCCACAATATAAAACTCCATAAACTATGTAGTATATATACAACTGAATAATTTCAATAATTTTGACATTTTCGTTTTAGGACTTATATTTTTAGTTATAAGTAAACAATCGCTTTAAACGTATATGTTTGAACTTTTAGGGCTTATGCTTTATTTTTCTCTTTTTCACTTTTTAAAACTAATATTTTCTCTTACGTAAGAATTTTTTTTTTGTATATTTTTATTGACAATAATGTATAATGATTTATTATACTATTCATATTTCCGATTTATTTTTATTAATATTGTCTTCGAGTCAAACACCTTTTCTTTTTTATTTGAACATTTTATTTTTATATATGACTTTAGCCCCAGAATAATGGATTTTTTTCTTTCTCTCAATCTATCTATTACATTTGTTGCATTGAGGCATCAAATACCAACATGGTCTTCGTTCTTTTAATTATCTTTGTTTAATCAGTTATATGTAAATATGGTCTTCGTTCTTTTAATTATCTTTGTTAAATTAATTATGTGTAAATATCAATAAATAATAAGCTGTTTACATTATTAAATTATTCTAAAATAAATAAAAAATTTACAATTTAATTATATTATTACAATGTATACCTTTATTGTGTATAAATAATAAATATAATAATGCCTTGTCTTTGGCTATACGACACGGAAACAAATTTAAAATAAAGTAGCAACAAATAAAAATCTTATGAAATATTATTCTCAGTGACAGGTCGGTTCAACAATCTAAAAGAAACTAATTAGAAAATAAAGTCTAATTTCTCCACCCTCAAGTTTATTGCCTCTCCCTCCCTGACTATTTTAAAATAATGTACCCCCTTTTGACAATGCTCGTGCAATTATTTCAGATGAAATTCTTATTTAAAAGGAAAAAAATATTTTAAAACAAAATAATAATGAATTCCTGGCATGGGCATAGGCAGAGGAGAGCAGGGGGAAGCCGTTGGCTCCTCTAAATACACTGACAGGCAAAAAATTCCACCCACTTGTTACCCATTAAGAAACCACGTTGGAAAGGTTGGCTCTGGGAAAAATTACAGGCTGCATATCTTTCGTTTCTTCTTCTCTACACCCTTTCACGCCCGTCTGGAGATCGAAGAGCGAATCTTGACTCATCTGTATAAAGTACAGCACTCCATTCGTCTATAGTCCAATGGCTGTGTTCTCGAGCAAAAGCCAGCCGTGTTATTCTGTGAGTTCTGGTCAACTCTGGTCCTCTTACTGGACGAAAAGCCATTAATCCATACTCATTTAATCTTCTCCGAGCGGTACGTTCAGAAATTTGAACACATCGAACTTCTTCGAGCTGATGATTCGCTTGAACAACGGTAAGGTGCCGGTTTCGTAAAATTCTCAAAGTCAAAAACCGGTCATCCCGTGGTTCTGTTACCCTAGGACGTCCAGAACCGGGCCTTCTATTGTAAGAACCAGTTTCCCGAAAACGCCTCATGGAGTCTCGTAGAGTTTCTTATGGAACTCCGATGGCATTAGCTGCATATCTAATGGAACGTCCATCATCAATAAGTGCCACATCACGCACAACATCCTCAGCACTGAGAGGCATTTTTAAACTTAATATTGAAAAAATTAAAAGACGGAGACTAAGAAATGTGCTGCAAGAAACGGCACTGAACTAATGATACTGAATAAACATTTTGATTCCATAGAAAGTAAAGATTGGAATCTAGAATCATTTCATTGAATTAAGGATTAAGGGTTATTGTCCTCTATATTAGCATTGCTAATTGAAAACAAACAAAAAGATTACCTATTTATTCATTAAAAACAATAGACCAATCCAAAGCAGAAATATTTTTAGATGAAAACATGAAAAAATCAAGTGGGTGGAATTTTTAACCTGTCAGTGTATTGCTGATGTTACTTGTTGATTCTAATTGCCTTATGTATTGTACCTTTAATATTAACGAAATACAAACCAATATTATATCTACTATCTTTTAAACTAACATTGATATAACATCTCATATAGATACATATTAATTATATAAGTGAGGAGGGTAACCATATTTTTGAGGTGGCATGCGTCATCGATCTTGGGTGGAATGGGTACCCCTGCCTGAAGTAACTATAAACTTAAAACGGTTTCTAGTCATTTCAGTCTTGCATGAGAATTCCATGTTGGATATTTGTTGTATTATACATTATATTAAAAACTGTTTAATTAGACAATGATATAATGAATTTAATCAAAATCGTTAGAGCCATTTTTGAGAAAATTGTAAAAATTTGTAAAGTTGATAATATAAAGTGGCACTTCTGGTTAGCTGATTTTCCTTAAATATCAAATTTTAGTTGTGTACGACTTTTTATTTTCGAGTTAGACTGCTCAAAATCGCACACACTGACAGACCATATTGCAGAACTTGCTAATTTGGATTTAGGGGACATCAAAACATATATTTCCGTTGTAAACTTAGATTCGAAAATTTTCATTATAGCAATACTTTCACTTACTATATATTACATATACATAGATAAATGATGATGAATTCCAAAAATAGATAGTAAGAATAACAAAAGTTACTCAAAGGGAAGTTCTACGATAAAACTATGTATGAGGATAGATACAAATTGAAATATTCATTAAATTTATGTGTATACATACAGATATAAATTATGTTTCATCATACATATATGTATATCATGCAATACATTGATAAATTCGATCATGTTTGAATGAATAAATAAATAATAAATAAAAATTTATATTTGTGGGTTGATGGTTGACTGTCGTGAATAATAAAGAGAAGGATGGTTGGGGTTATCAGTCAGAAATAAAAAGGCAAAAATAAATAATAATATTCATTTTAACATATACCGACGTTTCGACCTGAAGTCTAAACGTCGGCAATGTTAAAATAAAAATTTATATATTCAGTTGGTGATTTGGTATTCAACAAATTAATTTAAAAAAAAGATAGAGATCAAGAATGAAGGAAGTTTTTTTTATTCCAACTTGAAAAAACAACACACAAGTGATCCCATAAGAAAGAGGTTAAAGCCATTTTAGTCCACTGTACAAGAAATCTGGAAAACCAGTTCATATACAATTATAATATTCATGGAATATGTAAACCTCATACTTTCATAAAGGGTTGGTTTTTAAATTGTGGTGTTTTGTTTTTTAAAGAGGTGGTTGGAATTATGAAAATATACACATTAACGGATTATGAAATTATCCTCATACCTTAAATATTTATTTTTTTTTCATTTCTATTTTATGTATAACTCATAGAAAATAATTTTTACAGGTGTACATATTCCATGAATATTATAATTGTATATGAACTGGTTTTCCAGATTTCTTGTACAGTGGGCTAAAATGGCTTTAATCTCTTTCTTATGGCATCACTTGTGTGTTGTTTTTTTAAGTTGGAATAAGAAAACTTTCTTATTATTATTCTCATTATTCACGACAGTCAACCATCAACCCACACATATAAATTTTTATTTATTCTCACTCAAACATGATTGAATTTATCAATGAATTACATGATATACATATATGCATGATGAAACATAATTTATATCTGTATGTATACATATAAATTTAATGAATATTTCAATTTGTATCTATCCTCATAAATAGTTTTATCGTAGAACTTCCCTTTGAGTAACTTTTGTTATTCTTACTATCTATTTTTGGAATTCATCATCATTTATCTATGTATATGTAATATATAGTAAGTGAAAGTATTGCTATAATGAAAATTTTCGAATCTAAGTTTACAACGGAAATATATGTTTTGATGTCCCCTAAATCCAAATTAGCAAGTTCTGCAATATGGTCTGTCAGTGTGTGCGATTGTGAGCATTCTAACTCGAAAATGAAAAGTCGTACACAACTGAAATTTGATATTTAAGGAAAATCGGCTGACCAGAAGTACCACTTTATATTATCAATTTTACAAATTTTTACAATTTTCTCAAAAATGGCTCTAACGATTTTGATTAAATTCATTATATCAGTGTCTAATTAAACAGTTTTTAATATAACGTATAAAACAACAAATATCCAACATGGAATTCTCATGCAAGATGGAAATGACTAGAAACCGTTTTAAGTTACAGTTACTTCAGGCAGAGGTGCCCATTCCCCCCAAGATCGATGACGCATGCTCCCTAAAAAACTTTTTAAAAAATTGAAGATTTGATTTCATATATGTAATACATATATACTTACATTTAATATATTTAATAAAACTATATTATCAATATTTTATATGCTGATGTTTAAATAATCTAGATTAAAATACCAATTCCTTTTATTTAAAATAAAATCCAAGCCACGTAAATATTAAAATTTGGAAGCATATTTTGCCTTTTCATTAAATTGATCTTCAGTGAGAAATTGTATTTTAATACAATGGTAGTTTATGCTAGTCTTCTTACTAGAAGATGATTTCAACTTCCAAACAAATGAAAATTTCAGATTATTTCACAAGGAAATAGTTAAAAAATAAATTTCTTAACGATGATTAATTATTGTAAAATAGTTTTATGTAATTAAATTTATAATTTTTGTTTTTAAATTGATTTATTATTTATGAAGAGATCATTTGTTTCTTGTACAGTAATCTGAATTTTTCGCTTTTCCGAACCCGTAGGTTTTAATTAGCGCAAATTAGCATAATTACACTGTATAATGTATTTTATGTATGCCTGGACACTAAGCTGTCCAGATGCCTATTACTTAATTTAATCTGTTTAAAGGGAAATTTGTCAGGCTATTAATAACGTAAAATAAAGTCACATCAAATAAATATTTAACTAACAGTACAATAGATAGATTGTTCTCAAGGTAAATCTGGATGATCTAACCATATAATTATTGATTTCCACTGTGCACTATTATTCAATAATAATATTTATCAAACAATACAAAGTTAAAGAAATCTGTTCTCCATAAAAAAGGTGTCATCAGAAGTATATTTATTTTAAAATTAGAGAGCTTGATGAAGAAATATAAATAGTTTATCTCTTTCATTTAAATAACTTAGTTTTAAACACTTTATCCTAACAAAATATGAAGTTACTAGATATTTTAGAAATAGAACGATTTGAAATAACTTATATTAAATAGAATTTGAATTTATTGTTATTTTTCAATTTATACAAGTATGTACACATATACATATAATTTAATATTAGCTCTTATACACATATGATTTAAACATGAATCAGATACTTTATTTAGATTATTAGAAATATAAACGAAATAAATTTGAGTATAAAATAAAAAGAAATCAATAACAAACATTATACTAATATACTATATTTGAAAAGGTCTTAATTAGTTCTTGAAGGCCCATTTGTCAAATCGGGATAGGCGCAAGTTAGGCCATAGGTTCTGACTGTATTTTCCTATTGGAGGTTGATATGTGTGTTGTCCATCGTCTCCTTTTAATGTCTTCTCGGCCCTATTAGCTGATGTGGCTTTTCTCTTGGCAGGGAAATTTTCAGTTGAGAGCCAAGATAATACTATTGAAGATTTTTGACTCGGGGGATTGTGGAAAAAGTCTTTGATCAATATATTGATGTTTGAAATGGTTTTTAACGCTACTACTTTAACCCTATCCTCTTCATCCTTTTTCTTCTTTTTAAGTACATCTTCTAATGTTTTGACATAGGCTTGTGAAGCTCTAAAGAAATATAAAAGTCTTATTCTAAAATCCTTCAACTTGTCAGTCTTATCAGAGAAATAAGGAGATGAACGCATCATATGGTGCATTGTGTATAGAAGGCATTCCACAGAAGAAAATTGTAGCCTCTTATAAACATCTTGTTCATCTTCAGATGGACAAGGTAGAAACTCAGTCAAGATAGTAAACACCTCGTCTATTAAATCATCAATATCTTTTAAGTCTTTTGAATATGTTGCTACTTCTGCTAATAATTTCAGTAATGCTATAGCACACCCAGAACCATCCTTGGCACCAGTAATAGATGTGAATTTAGGTAAAACTTCTTTACAGAAAAATACTAAATATTTATTAGAATTAATGTCCGAAGTAAAAAGAGTTTTAGCGGTAACTGCGAAAGTTATAAATCTCTTCAGGCTGTATCTCTCATCAACAATAAGAATAGATTTGTCTGCTTCTAAATAACTTAAAACTATATCTAATATCAATTTTCTACCAACTGTATTTTTACCTAGTCTGGTCCAGAGCAGCATTCCAAATAGTAAAGGAATTTCTTCAGATGTTGCGTCTTGAAAAGTTTCTTTAATTTCTGCAATGAAAACATCTTGAACTTCTGGAGAGAAAGTACTGGAAGGAAGACGTCTGACCCTTGTAGCTAAGAATTTTATAGTTTTTTCTCTTACTTTATCATCACCATTTTTAATTTGGTTAAATATACCTTTTAGAGCTGACACAGGATCCGACTTAATAACAGTGATCAAAGATTCTCTTACAATTGAAACCTCACCTGAATCAGTCGCTTGAAGTAACTGTGCCAAAATATCAGCAATACGTTTGGTATACTGTTTTAATTCGCGACACAACTGCGGCAAGCCTTTGATGGCTTCTTTCCTTATAGCAACATCATTATCTTCACATAAATCAAAGTAAGCTTCAAGAGCCATTTTTGCAAGTTGTGGATAATGTGGGAAAAATTTTGGGATAAACTGACATACCAACTTTTTCTCTTTAGCATTACCTTGAGTTGATGCCAAGATTGTTCGGTACACTTCTTCATGTTGGCTGGGATCTTTAGATTCTGCTAATATTTCATACTGAATGTATAACTTTTCTATTTTATCACTATCCATTGTTTATGCAAAACGAACACTAAACACAAAAAAACAAGCTGCAATCACTCAATTAAAGCATCACACATAACCTAAACTCTAATTCACAAAATGTAAAGGCACTTGGTTAAAAGAAGCTTGCTATAATACGCCAGATAATAACAGATGCAATGAACAAGCGACCGGCAATACAACTTTCACAGTCTAACAACTAAAAGCGAAACGTGGGAGGTTACAGAAGGTTACAGCGCCATGTTTGGGTGGTTGCCAGCCTGGTTACTAATTGAAATCTGATCATTTAAAAAATATATATATTATTGATTTCACATGTTTTTACTTTCACATACGTATATATATATTAATATATAGTAAGGGTAAATATTACGATCATGAAAATTTTCGAATCAGAGATTTCATCGAAAATAACTTTTTGCCTTCTGAATCCCTCAGTTCAAATAACGAAGTCTCACAAAATGGTCTCTGTATGTGTATGCCAATGTCCATTTCAAAAGCGAAAAGTCTTAAGAAATTTAAATTACGTATTCAAGGTTTGTATAGGCTTGAGATGTTACAGTAACTTTTTCCTTAAAATCGGCTAACCGAAAACGCCACTTTATATCAACGATCGTGCACATTTTTACAATATTTTCAAAATCGGCTTTACCGATTTTGATTAAACTCAGTGTGTTATATTATAATTAAGTGGTCTTTATATATCATTTAGGTGTTATCCCCAATGTCACTTTGCAGGGCTTTAATGCCCAATGTTCAAACATGTCTTCCTGTGAAGTACCTTTAATTTGGTTTGTTTTAAATAATTAACTATCTCTCATTGTTAAAAATTATGAAAAAAAGTTAAATATAATTTTTTAAAGAGTTTGATAATTGAATAAAGGAGAAAAAAAAGAAAAATGAATATCCAGGTCGAAAATGAATCTCCGGAAATAATAGTCAGAAGTACAATATATATATATATATATATATATATATATATATATATATATATATATATAATATACTTACATATAATATACGGAAATACGTAAAATATATCCTTGGAAAGCAGAGAACTTAAACAAAAACAATATCTAATATAGAAAGTCGTAAAAAGTAATGAAGAGTGACGAAAAAAATATAAATAATGATTTCTGTAGACTATTCTTATTTAACGAATCACATGTTTCAAGGAATTTAAACAAAATTTACGAACTATTGGTAAACTTTTAAAATTGAATATTTAATGGTTGACCGCTGGATAATAAAGGAAGGAGATGGTCCGGGGTGGCGTTTATAACAAGGCTAAATAATGGAAAAACTATTTCATTAAAAGCCAACGTTTTGGCCCGACTTTACAGGTCTTCTTCAGGGCTAGAACGGACAAGATACAAAAAGATATAGAGAAATGTGCAAGTTACATAATATTAAGACCACAAATTATAAACAATGTGAATAAGCTTATTAAAATTAGTAAGTATATTAAAATATAAATAGAGTAAGCTAAATAACAAGATCCTAAACTTAAGTAAATAGATGGTAACAATTGTTTTAGTGTAATATAGAATATATGCAAATGTGAATATACTTTTACAGATCTACAGGAGAAATTGAATGAAAAGGAAAAAGGATATAATGTGATATATAATATTTTCCTTTTCTATCAATTTCTTTTGTAGATCTGTAGAAGTATATTCACATTTGCATGTATTATATATTACACTACAAAAATTGTTAGCATCTATTTACTTCAGTTTAGGACCTTGTTACTTAGCTTGCTCTGTTTATATTTTAATGTACTTACTGTTTATAATTTTAATAAGTTTATTCACATTGTTTATAATTTTTGTCTTAATATTATGTAACTTACACAATTCTCTATATCTTTTTGTATCTTATCCGTTCTAGCCCTGAAGAAGACTTGCAAAGTCGGGTCGAAACGTTGGCTTTTAATGAAATAGTTTTGCCACTATTTAGCCTTTTTATGACCGCCACCCCGGACCATCTCCTTCCTTTAAACTTTTAAAAGTTACCTAATCAAGGCAATGACATTGTTTAAAAAACTATTTCATAGCACTTGTGTGAAGGAAGAAATGAAATATGACCATATTTCATGGATGTATAAAACATGTTTATAACTCTAGATCTGATATTATATTTTAATAATTAGTTATATATCGTCCGTTTATTCCGAAAAATCATCATGTAACTTTTCAGAAAATTAAATTGTTGAATAATTTGATGAACTTTCCCTTTGTGAAATTCCAACATTATCCACTACTATTTCATTGTATTTGTAAGCTCGGTTAAAAATGGACTTCAAATATTTTAAAATAGCATAACATTGCCAGAAAATGATTTCTATTCAAAGTTGTGTGTTGCGCGTACTAGATTTTTAAAATTTTATAAAAAGTTTTAAATAAACAAACACCTTTGCATTCTACCTTTAACAATAATACAAAATATTATTGAACAACAACTCTCTATCGAATAATCAACAATCAAATTTATAATATATTTATTTATTAATAGTTAAGTAATACGTTTAAAACGATTTAGTTAATTATGTTATTGATTCAATTATCTGTGTTACTTTTTAATAGAAACATTCCTAAGGGGTCCTTTAATCGGTCAATATTATTGAAACAATAAAATTGAAGGCAATATATTGAAGGGATACCTTAACGGGTCAGTCATATTCACTGTTGATTATATCAATTTATTATATTGATAGATAAGATTATATCAATATTATTTAAATTGAGATCTTGCTTCCACTAAACGAGATTTCCAATGAAGTAATCTTTCATTTTTGAAAATTAACAATAATGAATTTCCATTACTTTAATTGCCTTGGTTTTATCGTTTAAAAAAATGTGTTTTTTATAATGTTTGTTTTTTTCTCAGGCATTATAGAAAAAGGCCATCGTTTCTTGTTTCAATTGGTTCTGTTTTTGTTCCCTAATTAATTAATACTAGCTGATGTACCCATCGTTGACGAGTGTATAGTTAAAATTTGAGAATCTTTTTGAGAATAATTTTGTATTGTTGAGGGGGAGGGTCCAAATTCAATTTCATATAACTGGATCAAGAGGGGAGAGGGAGGTTAATTTGAAATTTTTTATGGCGGGGCTTATGGAAGTCAAGATTTCGCAATACTTATAACAAAAACTTTGTTATTCGGCTATTTGTTTAGGTATCACACAACTAAATCGACCACCACCGATCCATTAAAATTTTTTGTGTTTAATTTTCATTTATGATGAAGCGAGGAGATTGCGGAGTCGATTAACTAATCAAAAAGCGTTTTAGTCTCTCCACATCTTTAAACTCTGCTGAGTTCATTGCTGGCAAAATAACATTGAACATTGAGTGACCTACATCCGTGTAAAATTAGAACTTGATCTAAATATTGTGGCAGGCGGGATGAAATTTTTGGGAGTTTTTTTCTCCATTTCCGGCTAATCTATTTAATTAATCTTAAAAAAGTTCACGACAACATTTGTTAGACTCGTGGAGTTGAATCGAATGACACCTTGAATGGGAAAATCGGACAAAATTGAAAAATGAGTGTTTTACCCGAGTTTTAAGCGAGGACGATAATCGGTATTCCGGATTTTTCCCGTTGAGTTATGATCATTTTTCCCATCAGTTGAGTGGTACAACTTCTAAATATGGCTCGTGGTTGGGATGGGAATGGAAGTAACTAACTGCCTAACTGTGATCTCTTGATAAATTACTCAAGAATTCATAACTTTGGTTCTACTCAATATTTTATTTTCATTTAAAGCCTATATTTTAAGTCAAACAAACCTAAATATAATGTCAAAATTTCAAAAGTCCACCATTAGCCATTACCCCTGACAAAATTTTGTTGCAATGCGGACATACAGACAGACAAACAATTTTTTAAAAGTGGATTTGGTGTCTGCAATGTATGAAACGGAAAGATATCAAACGGGTTGGTTTTATTCAATTTACAGACAAAACCTTTATTTTATTTACATAGATTTAAAAAAGTTTAGTAATTAAAACACTTATTATTACATTTTTTTTAGAAATCAATTTTTGAACAAAAAATTAACTTCGAAACAGTTAAATGTCATAAAATACTGCCATTTTGTTTAAACTAAAATTTAAGATAGGTTTGTCTATTCCTTCCTCCATAAAAGTACCCCTTTTCTCAAACATATTGTCGAGAGGGGCACCGGAAATTCAGGATCACCCAGACTTTCTCATGATTCCTGTATATGGTTTAGTATTGTTCAATATAGCCTTACCCACGCAATTATATGATTATACGAAATCATAACCGAAATAATGAGTGACAAATTAAGAAGGTCCCTCACGGTCTAGAAAGATTTGTTCTAGATATAAAAAAATAGCTCAGAGACTGGAGTTACGGTAAGTGCAAGTTGTGTATTGGGCGTACTAGATTTTTTTTTATTTAACTGCTAAGTTTTATTTTCAATACAACAATTTTCCATAAAAAAAAAGTGGCCTTCAAAAATATTGAGCCTTTTGGTAAAAGCTACACCCCCAACTTTCAATTTTCAAAATAACTTGGTTATATAGGAAAACGGCACAATATTTTTGTAGACCACCTTTTTTATCTATTTTTTTATCAAATTATCTTACGATTTAAGTAGAAATCAAATGTGTATTTACGAATTTTTAGTAGCTTATTAAATATTACCTACCGTTGATATAATTAATAGGGTTTTTGTTATAGTTAATAATTTGTTAGCTATAAGCTTTAGCTGTAGTTGCGTTAAAAATGCACTTCGAATATTTTACACTAGACCAGTATTGCCAGGAAATAATGTCTATTCAAAGTATTGGATAATGTATAATGTACAAATATAATAATGTCTATCAATATTTGCATTATAATAAATACATATAGTTTTAATACAAATTAAAGTACAAAATAATATATTTAATGCAGCAGCGTTTGCGTACATAACTATACTAAAGAGTAATACAATTATTTATTTTATTCATTGAAAGCCCTTAAATTTCTTTTT